TGCAATGCATACTAGCACATTATGCCACTACCTGCAGAAGACCTTTTTTTTTTATTTCTGCGGTTTACTGCCGCTTTAAGAACTGTCCATTTCTTTTGGTCAATAAATGTGTTGGCTGGCCTCAATTGCAACTACTTACTTGTTACAGGTGGCATCAAAGGATGGCACTACACTTTATGAATGTAGCTTTTAGCTGAAAATTCCTTTGTAAATCCCTCAGAATTTCAGGTTAACAAACTGGAAAGATAATGCACACCAGTGCAAGCACCTGCTATCCAGGACAGAGGTAATTTAAACCAAGCACTCATCCCACACGTTTTCTATAAGATTCAGTGGGGTTTCATGCACCGTGTGATAATGTCATGCCGTGATGAACTGGGGTCCCGCTTTCAGTTCTCACCAAGAACACTATCAGCGTGGAGTCTGTGCAGCCTCCTTTATTTTTCTGGGTTTTCTGCAAGTGTCACTCAGAACACTGCATGGAGTCTGTGTTGTCTTTCTGTGATTTTCTGGGTTTTCTCTACATGCTCCAGAGAACCCATATATTTGCAGGTCAGCTGACTTTGACCTAAAGTGGTCTCTGTGGTCCCTGGTATATCACTGTAGTGTGGACAGTAAACTATAGGCCTTTTTGGAAATAAGGACTAATGTAAAAAGCTGAATGTTCTGTATTAGATCTATTTTACCAGTACACAAAATTAATCTTGTTATGACTAATGACATCACCAGTATAATGATGCAGAGTTATACAGTGGCTGCTCTATAGAAATTTCCAGCTATACATAAAATGTGGTTGTGAGGAACCATTCCATGTAAAGGCTCATGAATATGGCTCCCTTCATAATTAATACATACAAAAACTCTAGTGTTCCCTGCCCCCTCCTTGCCATTTTTCATGTGTTCTTAACAGTGGCCCCCATTCTTCAGGCTTGGAGTGCTCCCTCTCCCCTATAGTCCTTTATTTATAATGTCTGTATAATTTTGTCGAGACGTGATTAAAGCCAATAATTTACAGGAGACTTTTATTGCACACCAGCTAAACCGTTTGGAGCTTCTTCAGACCCGCTGGCAGCGAAGGGATTAACTAATGTACAATAAGCGGTTGTCTTTTTTATCATCCCTCTGACAAACGCTGGGAAGAAAGAAATGTAGCAGAGAAACAGCACAGTGCCTTGGAACACTCAGCAGCGCCATCAAGGGGCTGAACAGCAATAAATTGCAGAAAAGTTGCTAATTAGAAACCATGTATAATTTTCTGATATTTTTGTGCTTCTTTCTTGTTTTGGCAGAAAAGGAGGGGTAAGCTATTTGTAGATATAAAGCAAGCTGGTGGTATAATGTATTTTATGTAAGCTGACTGTTAATATTGGAAATGTAAAAGCGCCAAACATGAAAGGCCTAAAGGCGGTAAATATAGAGTTTTAGTAGTTTTATTTACTGAAATCTTCAAAAATATATACATTCATTTATTTACACATAATATATACATTTTAATGGGCTTCAGGGGTCTTAAAATACCTTCTTCTTCAGGGACTATGCAATCTTGGGAGCAGTCTTATGGTTGGCTTACTGTTACAGAGCTATGAAAACCTTCCAACAGGGAGGCCAGCACCATTCTGATCTGATCCAGTGCCACTGAAACTACCACTACATAGAGTGTTAAGCTGGCTATGGACTTGTACATTTTCAAACAAAAATTAATTAAAAAATCATTGGCACATCTGATAGCTTGACGAATATCGTTCAAAAGTAGGTCAAAATTTTATTTGCTTTTAGCTTTGGATTTTGGAACAACTTTTACTACACTGTTAGAAATTAGTTTGTTCAGGGGAAAGCTTTTCATCCTGCTCCATCGAATTTTCTTGTAGAAAACGATTGTCGATTTTATCCCACTGATGATATGCAAATTTCACGAACGTTCTTAACACAAAAACTTTTGAAGGAGTCAGCATTGTGGCTAGCTGGTTATTATCTCTAACCTGACGTTTTAGAAAAGCAGCAGAGGCCATAGTCTAGGGCAGCAAAGTTTCCTGTGTTTTATTATGAGCTAATTTCATTTCTTTATAGCCACACCATAACCTTAAAGCAAAATATTAAAAAAAATAATAATAATGGTTGCAGCTTACCAATCTCTACATATTATAGCTGAGTGTTCTCTAAACTGTGGCCTGGGGGCCAGAAGAGGCCTTTTTCTTGCCTTTATCTGGTCCTTGGGGTACTTTTTCTCCCACTGATACAGAACACTATTCCTGCCACTGACACCAACATTGGGACTTAATTCCTGCTACTGACGTTAACAAGGAGGCACTATTTCTGCCATTGACACCAACAATGGGGCACTATTCCTCCCACTGACACCAATGACGAGGCGCTATTCCTCCCCCTAATGCCAAAGATGTGTTGTTTACTCCCACTAATGTTAGGACTTTTTTTCACTCACAATGGCCAAAGTCTGGCCCCTCCTAAAGTCTGAAGGACAGTAAACTGGGTAATTATATAGAAAGTTTGGAGACCTCTGTGGTAGCTGATTTGTTTTTTGTTTTTTCTGGCTTTTTATTATCTATATTATCACGTGGCAATCCTGTCAATAACACACTTCTTGCCCCTTGGTGGCTATGTTCACTGTATCTATGGAGGAAGCCATGGTTGCCACCCAGGTGGGACATCAAATATGTCTGCCTTTGTTTATGCCCATTACATGGGGTTTCAAAGGATTTGTAGTTTGAAACAGAAAAAATAACATTTGCTGTCCGTTCAGCTCACAGTAAGTGATCACTGCATTTCTCGCAGGGTCATAAGGTACTTTATGGACTTGCTGAAAAAAAAAAAAAGAAAAAAGAAACTAATGCAGTCACCACATCTAAGGACTGGTAACCTGCAATATATTACATTTTTGTTATTGAGTTTACTTTTCCTTTACAGAGACCCTGTCATCTTGCCCATTTAGTGAACAGTGACAGATTTCAATAATAAGATACCCCCCCCCCCACCACCACCACCACCCTCTTATACTTACTGCTGGCAGGTTCCACCTACATTAAATTCAATTGTGGGAGCTACAAGGGTTAAGTGGTATTTCAAGATATAGGGGGGAATGTGACTCCCCTTCTTCTAAGGATGCAGGCTCAGGCTTTAGTGGCCAATTGAGTTGGGTAGTGGAGAGGATGTGCTATGAACCATGTGCAAACTCTAACACAGACTGACACAAACCTTAACCCCTTAACGCCTAAGGGTAAAACAAATATAAATGCCTAAGCACAATTCTGCAACGTTGACATGTGTTACTAAAACCGTACATATCATAACAACTACTTTGTACATCCAGGTGGATTATACCTTGTGTTTTTCAGGACAAATTGGGCTTTCATTTGGTGATGATATATGGTAGTGATGGCGAACCCGTGGCACGCGTGCCACAGCCGGCACGCCGAGCCTTATCTGTGGGCACGCCAGGAGAATCCAGCGGCGCGCTGTCTTCCCGGCTGTAGTGTGCGTGACAGCCGGGTCCCAAGTGCGCATGCACAAGAAGCAGTGCTCTTTGTGAATGGTAAGGCGGTACCTGGGACACATGACAGATCCCAGAAGCCGCCGGACCAATCACAAAGCGCAGCGCTTCTCCGCATGCGCACTGGGCATCCGGCTGTCCGACGAGCGCCCACACTACAGAAGCCGGGAAGACAGTGCGCGGCTGGATAAAGGAACAGGTAAGATAAAAAAAAAAACTCTGCGGAAGTAAGAGCGGGTACCTGTCAAATTCAGGTACCTGCTCCCCCTCCCTCCCCAAAGGTCAGCAGTCATCTCTGTACTGTCCGCAGTCTCTGGTCATCCCTGTGCTGTCCGCAGTCTCTGGTCATCCCTGTCCTGTCCGCAGTCTCTGGTCATCCCTGTGCTGTCCGCAGTCTCTGGTCATCCCCTGTACTGTCCGCAGTCTCTGGTCATCTCCTGTACTGTCCGCAGTCTCTGGTCATCTCCTGTACTGTCCGCAGTCTCTGGTCATCCCTGTGCTGTCCGCAGTCTCTGGTCATCCCTGTACTGTGTCCGCAGTCTCTGGTCATCCCTGTGCTGTCCGCAGTCTCTGGTCATCCCTGTACTGTGTCCGCAGTCTCTGGTCATCTCCTGTACTGTGTCCGCAGTCTCTGGTCATCCCTGTACTGTGTCCGCAGTCTCTGGTCATCCCTGTACTGTGTCCGCAGTCTCTGGTCATCCCTGTACTGTGTCCGCAGTCTCTGGTCATCCCTGTACTGTGTCCGCAGTCTCTGGTCATCCCTGTACTGTCCGCAGTCTCTGGTCATCCCTGTACTGTCCGCAGTCACTGGTCATCCCTGTACTATGTCCGCAGTCTCTGGTCATCCCTGTACTGTCCGCAGTCTCTGGTCATCTCCTGTACTTTCCGCAGTCTCTGGTCATCCTTGTACTGTCCGCAGTCTCTGGTCATCTCCTGTACTGTCCGCAGTCTCTGGTCATCTCCTGTACTGTCCGCAGTCTCTGGTCATCTCCTGTACTGTGTCCGCAGTCTCTGGTCATCCCTGTACTGTGTCCGCAGTCTCTGGTCATCTCCTGTACTGTGTCCGCAGTCTCTGGTCATCTCCTGTACTGTCCGCAGTCTCTGGTCATCTCCTGTACTGTTCGCAGTCTCTGGTCATCCCTGTACTGTGTCCGCAGTCTCTGGTCATCCCTGTACTGTGTCCGCAGTCTCTGGTCATCCCTGTACTGTGTCCGCAGTCTCTGGTCATCCCTGTACTGTGTCCGCAGTCTCTGGTCATCCCTGTACTGTCCGCAGTCTCTGGTCATCCCTGTACTGTGTCCGCAGTCTCTGGTCATCCCTGTACTGTGTCCGCAGTCTCTGGTCATCCCTGTACTGTCCGCAGTCTCTGGTCATCCCTGTACTGTCCTGCAGTCTCTGGTCATCCCTGTACTGTGTCCGCAGTCTCTGGTCATCCCTGTACTGTGTCCGCAGTCTCTGGTCATCCCTGTACTGTCCGCAGTCTCTGGTCATCCCTGTACTGTGTCCGCAGTCTCTGGTCATCCCTGTACTGTGTCCGCAGTCTCTGGTCATCCCTGTACTGTGTCTGCAGTCTCTGGTCATCTCCTGTACTGTGTCCGCAGTCTCTGGTCATCCCTGTACTGTGTCCGCAGTCTCTGGTCATCCCTGTACCGTGTCCGCAGTCTCTGGTCATCTCCTGTACTGTGTCCGCAGTCTCTGGTCATCCCTGTACTGTCCGCAGTCTCTGGTCATCCCTGTACTGTGTCCGCAGTCTCTGGTCATCCCTGTACTGTTAATTAGTTTGCACTACTGTACGAGTTGTTTTTTCTAAACCAAAAGCTCGATATTCAGGTTTCATTGCAGTGTTGGCACTTTGAAAGAAATAAGTTGGTTTTGGGTTGCAGTTTGGGCACTCGGGCTCAAAAAGGTTCGCCATCACTGATATATGGTAATGGATAGCTCCTAATTTGTTTTATTATCAAAGGAAAACTGGCCCAAAATAGTAAAAAAAAATCTTTTTGTTTATTTAGCTGTGTGTTTCTTGTTACGACCATAACCTACCTCCATAGAACAACCCAAAATAAATTCTCCAGCTCTTGACGATCGCAGCGATACCATATATGTGTATATTATTTGTTGTTTGTACCCGTAGTACAGCCCAGAAACAATAGTACACATTTCGTTTTTGTCTTTTTTTTTTACCTAAAACACACTGACACTGACATTATTATTATTATTATTATTATTATTATTCAGTATTTATAAAGCGCCAATAGTTCGCTCAGCGCTACTGTTAATGCTAACTGACACTGATACCAATTTTTTTTAATCCTGACATTTGACCCTGACCTTGACCCAAACACTAACCCTGGCACTGAACTAGATCAATACTGTAGAGGAAGATGAAAGAGAGAGCGCACAAACCTTGCGCATTACCTCAATAAATAATGACTAATTTTATTAATAAGGAAATATACTCACAAAATGATTGTATAACAGGCATAAGTAACCATAATCCAAACAGGGTTACAGGTAAATCAAAAAGGGGGGGATGAAGGCTAACGCGTTTCGAAGGGTGCTCCCTTCTTCATCAGAGCTGGGTTTGGCAGATAGAAACTTCGGTATGGCAGATTTCCCATGGCAAGGAGATATTCAGCCACTGAGTGTCAGTATTACAGCAGTTCACTGAACTGCTGTAATACTGACACTCAGTGGCTGAATATCTCCTTGCCATGGGAAATCTGCCATACCGAAGTTTCTATCTGCCAAACCCAGCTCTGATGAAGAAGGGAGCACCCTTCGAAACGCGTTAGCCTTCACCCCCCCCCCCCCTTTTTGATTTACCTGTAACCCTGTTTGGATTATGGTTACTTATGCCTGTTATACAATCATTTTGTGAGTATATTTCCTTATTAATAAAATTAGTCATTATTTATTGAGGTAATGCGCAAGGTTTGTGCGCTCTCTCTTTCATCTTCCTCTACAGTTTTGTTAAGCTTCCCCAGCTTCATGATAGAGCTGCACAACCTCTGATCACCAGTGGATGAATACACAACACGCTGCTTGTCACTAACGCCTGTTTGATCTGAGTCCTTGAGCGCAGGAGATAATGGATCTTTGGTGACTGAACCAGATCAAACCTTGATCTAGGTATTTTTCTTTATTTTTTATTTTATTTTTTAAAATTTATTTATCTTCTTTTTTTTTTTACAAACATTTTTTTATCTCTCTATGTCAGGAGTTAGAGAGATACAATGTATCTCTCTTCTCCATTCATAGAGAGAGAAAAAACAAGGGGGCCGGGCTGCACAGTGACTGATCACTGTGATAGCCAATCAGAGGCTATCACAGTGATCACGTGACCCAGAATTGGGCGTCCAGGGTCCCGATCGTTAGAACGGGACCCGGGGCTCTCAGTGACACCGCGGTCTCTGTGCCGGGAGCGCGCTGTGCGGCACGCTCCCAGCACAAAGACAGGCACGCAAATATGCGGCCCCATGGAAAAAAGCCCTTCGGCATCAAGGGGTTAAACAGAGTTTGGCCTGTCACTTTGACTGGAATGTTGTTCTGGTTGAATCAAGTACAGGGGCGGACTGACAACTCATGGGGCCCCCGGCAATAGGGGGCCCCTGTGTCCTTGCCCACACTCAAACCACACCCAAAAAAGCCTATGAAAAGTACCAGGGACATCTCATGGGGCCCCCTACTGACCCCAGCCCTCGGGCAGTGCCCGAGTTCCCCAATGATCAGTCTGCCCCTGATCAAGTAGCATTTCTGTAAATAGTAGCTGAACTCCCTCTGAGACCAGTTGGAAATGGTTAATGGTTGGGTTGGAACTTTCAGCTGGAGGGCCTATTGGGTGTGAAACACAAGCATGCTTGATCTTGCCCTTGTATTAAAAAAAGAGAATGTCCTATTGCTTGCTAGCATATCACAAGATGTTTTAGGACCATGGGTCACATTTTACATCTATGCAAAGATTATCTGTACACTCAGAAAGAAAGACAAACTATCAATTTCACAATAATGCATAAGCAAATACCTTCTATATAAATTACCCATTGAAATAAAGCTTATTACACCAATCAACTTGCATCAGTCATTTTGCATTATTACATCTGTTCTGTGTGGCTTTACTGGGCAAACAGAGTTGCAATAGCGCCATCTACATGTTCCTACAGACTATAGCATTTCAGCATGCATCAAGTACTATATTGTAGTCAGTTTTGGTTTAATTGATATGCCGGACAATTTATGATTTCTTTTAACCACTTGCCCTATGGAAGATTTACCCCCCTTCATGACCAGGCCATTTATTGTGATACGGCACTGCATTACTTTAACTGACAAGTGCGTGGTCACGCAATGGGTACATAAATTAAATTTGTGTCATTTTTACCCCACAAATAGAGATTTCTTTTGGTGGTATTTGATCACCACTGCAGTTTTTATTTTTGCCATATAAACAAAAAAACTGAAAATTTTGAAAAAATATATGTTTTTTACTTGCTGCTATAAAATATATCCAATAAAAACAAAAAAAAATGCTTCATAAATTTAGGCCAATATGTATTTTGCTACATATTTTTGGTTAAAAAAAACAAACACATGTATATTATTTGATTTGTGCAAAACCTATAGCGTCTACATACTCCGGTATACAGTATATAATGGAATTTTTATTTATTTTTTTATACTAGCAATAGCGGTGTTCAGTGGCTTATAGAGGGACTGTGATATTGTGGCGGACAGTCGGACACTAACTGACACTTTTGCACTTTGTGGGAACCAGTGACACCAATATAGTGAGCAGTGCTAAAAATATACACTGTCACTATACTGATGACACTGGCTGGGAAGGGGTTAAACATCTAGGATGATCAAAGGGTTAACTGTGTGCCTAGCTATGTGTTTTGTGCACTGTGTGTGCTGCTTTTGCTAAAGGAAGTGATGGATCTTATTCCCTTTGCAGGGACACAAGATCAATCACTTCCTGTCAGGAACCATAAACCAGGGGTTAACCCACTGGGTTAACCCTACGGAGTATGCAGAAAGCTCCAATATACAGAGGCGTCAGTTTTAGTGAGGGAACACAGAGTCGGAGGTTATAGGAACACAGCCAGACCCTCTCCCCAACTTTGTAGGAGGGTGCAGGTAAGCGTCAGTGGTCAGCAGAGTCTGTGTACCTCTCTCTGAAGTGCTGCAAGGATTCTTGGACCTGAACCCAAGTAGAACAGAGTTCTTGAAGATGTTTTTCTAACGCAGGAATTCTCTGCGGAATGGATGGCTGGAACCCATAGCACACCATAAACGGAGATAATTGGGAGGAGGCATTGATGGAATTATTGTTAACAAACTCCACCCAAGGTAACAGATCCTTCCAGTTACTATGGTGGTCTGAAATATAGCAACGCAGGAACTGTTCCAAGGCTTGGTTGGCCCATTCTTCTGCCCCATTGGACTGCGGGTGATATGCAGAGGAGAAGGAAAGCAGAATCCCAACTGTGCACAAAAGGCTTGCCAAAACCTGGACACAAACTGGCTACCGCTGTCCAAGATGATAACTTTAGGTAACCCACGTAACCAAAAGACCTCCTGAGTGAATATTGATGCCAGTTTTTTGAATGTAGGTAACTTCTTTAGAGGAATGCAATGTGACATCTTTGAAAACTCGTCAACCACCATAAGAATAACTGTATTTCCCTGGAAGTTAGGTAAATACACAATATAATCAATAGACAAGTGGATCCAAGGCCTCTCTCACTGAGTATAGGTTGTAGAAGGCGTACCGGAAGGTGTCTGGGTGTTTTATTCTGAGCACACATGGGACAAGCAGCTACAAAGACAGTTACATCAGCTCAGAGACTGGGCCACCAGAATTGTTGAGACATAGGTCATATGAGTTGATTTTTACCTAGGTGCCCAGCTGCCTTGGAAGAATGGTAGGTCTGGAGCAAAGCAGTGGGGAGATTTTTTGGGGACAAGGCAGTGGCCATGAGGTTTTCCAGGAGGAGAATGGATTTGAGAAGCCAGAATTCTCTCACCCAAAGGTGAAATTAGACTAGTGCGAATAGTGGCCAAAATGCGGTCCAGAGGTATCACAGGAGTAGGAACAAACTCCATTTTGAAAGAGGAGGAAAACTGCCACGATAATGCATCTGCCCTTATATTCTTCGTATCGGGTAGGAATGAGACTATGTAATTGAATCTTGACAGAAAAAGGGCCCACCATGCCCTTCTAGGAGATAAGTGTTTAGCCTCAAACAAGAATGTGAGATTCTTATGATCAGTCAAATTGAGGACTGGCACAGTAGTACCCTCGAGGAGATGCCTCCATTCTTTAAGAGCTGATGGCTAATAATTCTCTGTTCCCAATTTCGTAATTGCATTCTGATGGAGACATTTTAGAAACGTAGCCACAAGGATGCATAGGGCCCACAGGGGTAGGATGTTGAGACAGGAGAGCGCCTACTCTACTCTCAGATGCATCAACCTCAAGAATGAATGGTAACGTAGGATCAGGATGTACCAGCACAGTGGCTGCAGCAAAAACAGCCTTCAGGGATTCAAAGGCTTTAATGGAATCCGGAGACCAATTCTGTGGGTTGCCCTCCTTTCTGGTCATATCAGTCTAGGGTTTGACCAGGGAAGAGAAATTACAGCTAAATATCCGATAATAATTGTCTAAGCCAAGAGGACGCAGAC